TTTATTCCATCCTTAAGATTCTTTGGTCAACCTATAAGCTTTCATAGCTTCACATTTACACGCACTAGTATAGATTATAAACATGAATACTTATTGTATATCATACCTAGAGCATATAAACACAACATACAATACATATTCATTGTTAAATTTATGGTTTGGGGTTTCCCTCTCATACATCATGCATAACAAGACGAGATTGGGGTCAATCCTTAAACTCCTCAAATAACTCACTTCAAAGTGAAGTTCTCACTCCCCCTTACCTCGTTGGGTGCCTACCCATTCAATACTTATATTAATTTAGTTTATTCCATCCTTAAGATTCTTTGGTGAACATATAAGCTTTCATAGCTTCACATTTACACGCACTAGTATAGATTATAAACATGAATACTTATTATATATCATACCTAGAGCATATAAGCACAACATACAATACATATTCATAGTTAAATTCGTCAATGGTATGCAAAGCTATTTAGTTTTCTTCTTTTACATGGTTATCATCACTCTCAAGCTGATCACTCCCTGTTTTTGAAGTTCTCGGGTTCATTTATCACAACTCTCCTTGTTTACGTAGATGATATTGTTCTATCTGGAAATGACTTGTCTGAAATATCTCATATTACACTACTTCTTGATCAAACTTTTAAGGTCAAGGATCTTGGAAATCTAAAGTATTTTCTTGGTCTCGAAGTGGCCCGATCAGCTGATGGAATTCACCTTTCTCAAAGGAAGTATGTTCTTGATGTTTTATCTGATGTTGGTATGTTGGCTTGTGCCCCTGTTTCAACTCCAATAGATTACACAACAAAGTTAACCTCTGAAACTGGTACTGCTCTTGCAGACCCTTCACCCTATAGAAGGTTAATTGGTAAGCTCATTTATCTTACCTCAACACGCCCAGACATTGCTTTTGCTGTCCAGAACTTAAGTCAATCTGTTTCTGCTCCCACTGATATTCACTATAGAGCAGTTTTTCGGGTTCTTAGATATCTGAAACAATCCCTTGGTGCTGGCATATTTCTTCCCTCTTCAAGCTCATTGCAATTAAAAGGTTTCAGTGATTCGAATTGGGCAGGTTGCTTGGAAACTCATCGTTCAGTGACTGGATACTCTGTCTACCTTGGTGACTCTTTGATTTCGTGGAAGTCAAAGAAGCAAGCTACGGTTTCAAGGAGTTCATCTAAATCTGAATATCGAGCTCTTGCCTCAGTTACATGTGAAATACAATGGCTTTCTTTCCTTCTTGACGATCTTCGAATCGGTTATGAGAAACATGCTTTGCTCTTTTGTGATAATGATTCCGCTATCCAGATTGCTCATAATCAAGTCTTCCATGAGAGAACAAAGCATATCGAGATAGATTGCCATGTTGTTCATGAAAAGATTAATCTTGGTGTTCTTAAGCTACTTCCTATATCTTCTTCCTTGCAACTTGCAGATATTCTTACAAAAGCGCTTCATCCTCATGTTTTCAAAAACTTTTATGGCAAGTTGGGAATGTCTAATATCCATTCTCATCTTGAGGGGGGCTCTTACAACTCAAATACGTACACATCTAGTGAGCTCCGTGATGATAATGGGTAGATTTTTCATGCAGCCCATACATGTAGTCCGCAACCCATGCAGCTCATAGTTTTTCTGTTATTTTTTGTTTCATTCGCTTTTCTGATAGCATCATTGTATCGAATCTTTTCCGTTTTGCTTTTTATCTTTTGCCTTTCTGTTAACAGACCATGCACCTTCTCTTTCTTCTCCTTCCCTTGTATTTATATGGGATATATTTTTCAATAATGAAGATAAGAATGAGGTTGCATTTTCTCTCATTTCTTCTCTCGTTTATTCAGCTTTATATTCTTCTGGTTTTGTGAACAAAATCATTGAATTAAAAGTTCTTGATGAATAGATAAAACATACAAATTTTCACAAAATTTGAAAATTACTAGATACTCGTTACATAAATTCATATTAACATATATATTTTTGTTAATAACCATTAATTTGAACTAATTTGATGAAGTATTAAATTGTTTTCCAATTTTTGTAGACTTGATATATTCATTGAGAAAATTTAATTTAACAATTTAATCATTGAATTTCGACATAGATCATGAGTTATTGAGTGAAATAAGGTTATCAAGACTTATTATTTGAGTAAGTGAATCCCTTATCACACACACTCACACACACACACACACATATATATATATATATATGAGGGATAATTTCAATGACTCAATTATTAAATTAAAAGTTTTTAATGTATAAAGTCAACAAATTTCTAAAATATTAAAATATTTTTTTAATCCTATAGTTTCATTTACTTTTATATTTTAGTTTTTTCTAGTTTAAATTATACCTTTTTAATCCCTATACTAATATTTTTCAATCATTTTTAGTCGTTGTAGTTTAAAATACACCTTTTTAGCCTTTATACTTGTAATTTTTAATCCTTTTAATCTCTATCGTTATTTTTTTTGTAGTTGTATGTTTTATGTTAACATGGTAGAGGTCTTCAATTTTATAAGAGTAAAAAAAGGTGTTTCAACAATAGGCGTTGTAGGTGAAGGTACAAAAGAGACACAAAATGTCATGATACCTAATTGTGGAGAAAAGATAGATACTAGAATGGGGGTTAAATAATATATTAAAAACTCGCACATTTGCAAGTCAGTGAAGTAGTATCTGAGAAAGAAATGATAGCAAGAGTAATCAATGAATACAATAAGTTTTTATACTGATTCACCTCAACTATTCAAGCTACGTCCAGTTCTTAATCCAACCAGATGGAGTTCTAGTAACTTTCAACAAAGTTACAAGTATTTTTTTACCAAGTCACTTATGGCTCAACACAAGTGTTCTATAATTGGTCTCTTCAAGTCACTACCCAAGTATTATTTTTTACAAATAAGTCTCTTCAGGCTCAGCCCCAAGTATTATTTTACAGACAAGTCTCTCTAGACTTTATCCTATAACAATGGTTATAAAGACATTACAAGGTTGTTGTCGTTTCTTTTAGACGTGATTATAATAAAAGTTTAAGCACAAGAGATTTTTTGAAGAGAAGATTTTCTATGTGTGAGGTTTTATTTTGTGTTGTATGTGTTCTTTATGTAACGTCTAATAGTATAAATATTAACCCCAATTTTATATGTATATATATGTATATAAATTATATATATTTATAGATTGAAAAAACAAGTAGTTATTAATAATATTATACGTAATAATAAATTTTTTTTTGAACTCACATACACATAATTAACTTCTAATGACCTTAAAATATTTGCGATAACATACGTAACTATAAACTACTTATATCTTACATTATTATTTCAATATTTACATTACATATTATTCTAATAATATTTACAACACATGCCTTACATACCATTTTTTTTTTCTACTACTACGATAGTATTTACATTGGTGGTGGAAATAAGTTTACAATAGGATTGACATGGTTAGCTCGTGGTAAAAAGAAAATCACTATAATAGGCTCATCTATAATAGTGGGATTTTCTTGATTGGAAAAAAAAATGAACAAAGACAGTCCTATGCCTTGGAACGTGACTGAATTGGAGACAGCGTCTACACTCCAATTACCCCCAGGAAAAATTCCAGTCATAACTACTGTAAAAGGACCTGGAATGGCCGGTAGATCCATTTATTTTGTGATATATTTTATTTTACACAAAGAAAAATAAGGAGTGAGAACAATTATCAAATAAACAAAATTAATTAAATAAAGTACAGAGTTATCTATAATCAACGGTAAATACATAATTATATATATAAATTAAATTTTCATTGTTATAATAAAATTTGAATTATTTTAGTAGTGACTAGTCAGGATAAATGAGCACAATAATATCGAGCACAAAAGGATTTTTCCTTAAGTACTTACTCATTTAAATTCTCAAGGTTAATCCTCCAACTACAAATTAATTTAAACTTTATTTCTTATGGCCATAGAATAACATTTATCTTTATAATGTATAATAAAATAATAGCAAGATAAACTTATGATATTTTAACAAAATTATATCATAGTTAAATTTAACATAAAAAGTAATCAAGTTAAATAAATTGAGTATTTTTTTTCTTTCATTATTTAGAATTTAATAAAATATAGATTACGTAAATGAAATATATTAAAGAGTACTAATCAAGTAAATTATAGTGATAATCATTATAAAATAATTAAACAACATAAACTAAGAACACCTTATTAATTATTAAAAGTAAAAAAATATCATAGATTAAGCAAATAAGTGAGGTTAGGGACACCTTACTAAGTAAATATACACAAAATATAACATAAATAAGGCTTAAATATGTTTAAACTACATCGAATTAGCTCGATTTTCAGATTACTACTTTTTTAAAAAAAAATTGTTTAAATTACTTGACTAATATTTTTTTTTCAATTTAGTACCTGACGTTAGTTTCCTCTGTTAAATGATGACGTGGCAAACGGACTGTCACGTCATCACCCAACAGTGTATGACATGTCATCACACATGGCCACCTCATTCTCCACGTAAATTGCCATGCCATATTTGAATTTTTTTTTAAAAATTAGTTTCCCAAACCCCCCTCATTCTCTTCCACCGCACGCAGTGTCTCCTCCAGTCGCGGCAGTGTCGCCTCGCCGTCGCCGCCACGCTCATGAAAACCGCCCATATTCTTCCATGATAACCTCTCTCTCTCTCTGCTTCCACAAAACGCCATTTCCTTATATATCCCTTCTCCATTTTCTCATTCTCCTTCTTCTCAACACTTCAATGTATTTCTCTGACAAAATGCAACGCTTCAACATGGCCTTCTCTGACTACAACCAAGCATTGGAAAAAGAACGTCCTAAGATTCAGGTCTTCTCTAAAGAGCTTCCTCTCTCCTTGGAACTGGTCACTCAAGGTAACCCAACAACCTAGAAGACCATACCCTTTTCTTTTTTTGTCATGAGGATCATAAAGTTTCTTCCTTTCTTTTATGGGTTTCTTTTCTCAGGGTGTTTTTGTTTTCTGGTTTTTTTTCCTTGCAGCCATTGAAACTTGCAAACAACAATTGTCTGGCACCACAAGTGAGTATAATTTGAATGGCCAATTGGAGCATACAACATCAACGGGACCTGTTTTGGAGGAGTTTATTCCAACCAACAAGGAAAGGGCTTCATCCCCTTGTTTTGATGAAGATGATGAACAACATTCTAATAAGACGAGGGTTCAAAGGAGGACGGCGAGGGTGAGGGCGAGGAGGACGGCGCAGCTGCCGCCCTCGATGAGGAGGAACTGCGCGGTGTCGATGTTACAATGGCGGGCGATTTCTCGGCTAGTGGCGTGCTAGACGACGAGGAGCTTGGAGGCGAGGGCAGCGGGCCCAACATGCGGCGGTGGTCGCTGCGAAGCTTCACGAAGAGGAAAATTAGGAGGCGCTGGCTGCGACGAAGGAGGCCCTGTGCGGTGGCTTCAGCGTTGTTGTCGAGGAGGTAGACGAGCGCGACGAGGGCTTCATGAGGGCGACGATGATGGCGAGGCGGTGCTGCCGCGACTAGAGGAGGTGTTGCGCGTGGTGGAGGAGAATGAGGGGGGTTTGGGAAACTAATTTTTAAAAAAAAGTTCAAATATGACGTGGCAATTTACGTGGAGAATGAGATGGTCATGTGTGCTGATAGGGATGACAAAGTGAGTCGTGGCCCGTGGGCCTGCCAAAAATTGGTGGGTCGGGCCCATCATTTCACCCCGCCAACCCGCCAAGCCCGCCCCCCCA